TGCTTGGATAGTTTTAGAGACTGATCAACTATTACACCAAGATCCCTTTCCTTCATAACACTGTTAAGGTTATTTCCATCCAAATTACACTTATAATTAAAATTATGATAACCCACATACATTATCTTGCATTTATTATAATTAAAACCCATCTACCATTTATTACAGCTAGCAACACCCAAGACCTTAATATCATCTGCAAATTTAAGTAATTTATTGACTATTTCCTCATCTATGTCATTGATGTAAATCAAAAAGCAAAGGTCCTAATACTGAGCTCTGAGGTACCCCACTTGTGACATTAATCCAGTTTGACTGAAATCCATTTGTAACAACCCTCTGCTTTCTTCCATCCAGCCACTTTTCTATCCAATTTGCTAACTTATTCCCACACCTATAGAGATATTTTTACAAGCCTTCTATATGGCGCCTTATCAAATGCTTTCTGAAAATCCAGATACACCAAATCTACACCCTTACCCTCATCCACATACGCAGTAAACTTTTCAAAGAATGTCAAAAGATTTGTAAGGCAAGATTTTCCCTCAGTGAAATCATGTTGACTATCCAATAAAATTCCAAACTTTGTTAAATAACTTTGCAAAGCATCTTATAACAGACTTTCCAAAACTTTTCCCACAGCTGATGTAAGACTAATGGGTCTATAATTACTGGGACAATTTTTATCACTTGTCTTGAAAAGAGGAGTTACATTAGCTAACTTCCAATCCTCTGGTACCTGCCCACTATTCAAGGACTGACAAAAAATAGTAGCAAGTGGCTCATAAATCCAATCTTTAACCTCCTTCAAAACCCTTAAAGGTATTTTAAACTTTCCAAGTTTTTTCTTAATCAACTCAGAATTAATGCAGTCATCTTGTTTGAACGAATACAAATCCTGGCCCTCATGTATCAACATAATTAACATTACTGGAAACCGATTTAATATAAAGAAACTAAGATCAACAACTGTCACGGGGGAGGTAGAAAAAGGTTATAATTGCCATGCTTAACACATATATCTTATTTATTTGTGCCATTGTTGTAAATATTATGTTTGTTTTGAATTTCGCGCAAAGCTCCACAAGGGCTATCTGCGCTAGCCGTCCCTATTTTAGTAGTGAAAGACTAGAGAGATGGCAGCTAGTCATCACCACCCACCGCCAACTCTTGGGCTACTCTTTTACCAACGAATAGTGGGATTGACCGTCACATTATAACTCCCCCACGGCTGAAAGGGCGAGCATGTTTGGTGGGACGGGGATTCGAACCCGCGACCCTCAGATTACGAGCCGGGCCTGTAAAGATTAAACGGAACGTGTATCTGTGACAGAATTAGTACTCTGTAGTACTGTTATAAATTTGTTATGAACAGTATAACTTGTTTGTTTGTATTTATTACTGTTAAAAGCATATATATATTAAATATGTCTTGTATATTTAATGAATTTATATCAAAGTTTGTAGTAAGTCAGTCAGATTATATAAAACACAAACTCATTTGTTGGTCACCCTGGATTATTAACCTCAACTACCCTGATGCTTTTCTTTTAAGGTTAATTTCGTAAACAGCTTTTACCTTACGTGAGGTTTTGTCGAGCGTCTATTCATTCTTGTTATGTTTAGTAGCCAAAACAATCACGTAATTCTAATTATTTGTTAGATACTTTTATTGTTTACTAGGCACAACTTACTATCTTGCTTATATCCTCTGTTTCGACTGCTAATCTGTTGTTGTGTTTAGAGAAGTCCTGAGGACTGTTTTTAGTGGAAGAGGCCGAAATTCTGTCCTGGCTGTTACAGTGGAAGAGGCCAGGATTCCGACCTGGGTCTCCTTGACAGGAATGCTGGTCTGGGGTCTTCACTTAGGACTTTAACCAATAAGTTGTTTTAATGTTTTCAAGAGGGACATCCGGGTTTTCCTGACATTCTTACTAGGTTGACTGAACGTGTTATCAGTTAGGTGAATGTTGACTGATACACCAACAACAGCAGATACGACATTCCGAAATGACAGAAGGATCACAGACCAATGATGTCAGTTAATGATGCTCGTTCGTCATTCATCATTTTACAGTAGATTTCTGTGCAGTTCAAATAACATAATAAAAGTTAAGTTGTCTTTAATTCTTAATGGCTATTTTTATTGTAAGTATATACATTTTTTTTAATCCTCTTTCTTATTTTTTTCTTTTTCTAGGTTGGAGGCTATGTTCTACCATTTTTAGTGTTGGGTTTACTTTTGCTACTTTCTTCAGTCATGATATTCTTCATTCTGCCAGATATCGGTATATTTTTTGTTTATTACACTCGAAAACAAAGTATAACAAATAAGCCTAAAATGAACAAAGAACATATTAAATTTTTGAATGGTTAAACGACATAATACGACAGGATTCGTCGCATAAAAAAACTTTATGTTTTATTAGAGAAATTGTTTATTGGATTTCATACAAAGCTACACGAAGCCTATATGCGCTAACGTCTTTAAATTTGAAATGAGAGATTTGTTGAAAGAAGACCAACTACTGCCAACACTTGGGTTACTTTCGTCGTACTAAAATAGTGAAGTTTGATGTATCCACGGCCTTACAGTACTGAGAACGATTGTGTTGTTTGTGAGGGATAACTGTACTTGAACCTTGGATACATATCTACACAGAACGACACCCTAACCACTGGGCTATGCTCGGCCCTAGAGAAATGGAAGTAATTCGATTAACACACGCTAACTTCCACAACAAATCTTTCACCCAACTTAACTGGAATTGACAGATAACGCATTGTGCATTTTTGCGCCGAATCAAACAAGCAAACTAAAATCGAACTATTGATAGCCCATCCAATATACAGATTTTATTCGGTTTAATATATATATTTTTTTATAGATATTACTTACCCTAACGGAACCTAGAGAAAACACTTTACCCTAAAAGTAGTTTTCATACGTAAGTTTTGTTTGTTTTTAATTAAGCACAAAGCTACACAATGGACTATCTGTGCTCTGCCCACAACGGGTATCGAAACCCGGATTCTAGCGTTGTAAGTCCGCAGACATACCGCTGCGCTACTGGGGGGCTCATACGTAAATGAATATATAAAAAACGAGAATTTTCAGTGGTAAATAAAGAATGACAGTTATTACCTGCAAACAAAATGTACGAGTTTTATAATTAGACTGACTTAGACTTGAAAATATTGATTGCCACAAAATAAACCCAGTTGGCGGTGGGTCCTGTAGCTTGTTGCCTTTCCTCTACTGTGTGATTTCAAAATTAGGAACAACTCATGATTCGTGACGCTTTGCCAAAGATGCGATCAAATTCCACTATTCAAATAGTCAAGAGTTGGCGGTGGGTGCGGTAGCTTGTTGCCTATTCTCTACTCAGTGAGTTCAAAATTAGGAACGGTTACGCGCAGGTAGTCCTTTTGTAGCCTTGTTATAATTTTTGAAACAAACATTTTACCTCATCAATCATGGAAAAAAAACACAAATGACGTAAGCACCTGAATGAAGTATTATAAGAAGCAACTAACGTTTGTGAAATGAAAACTTTAGTTGTGAATACAAAGCTGTGGGAAATTTAACTAATTAGTTTTAAATAAACGATGTTTAGGTTCATACGACGTACATGAATGTGTAATCTTTAGTACTAATTTCATATGTTGTTAAACGAAAAGCTATACAATGGGCTATCTGTGCTGTGCCTACCACGGGTATCTAAACCCGGTTTTTAGCGTTAGAAGCCTTCAGACTTACCGCTGAGCCACTGGCGGGCTCTAGTATTATAAACAAGCAACATGGTTAATATAATGACCCCCGGTGGATCAGTGGTAAACTTAGGGACTTACAATGCTAAAATCCGGGGTTCGATACCACACGGTTGGCAGAGTGCAGATAGCCCATTGTGTAGCTTTGCACTAATAAAACAAATTGTTATAATTAAGTATAATATTATAATTATATAATCAAGTACAGAATTCTAGAGTTACAAGTCCTAAAAGACTGAGTAAATTCCAACGGAATACAGATTTTTTTCTCCATTATATTCTGAATTAGTCCATTACGAAATTTTAAATCGAAGATATGTAATAGTACCTTTTCGGGTATATCTTTTACCTGTTACAAGCCGCTACACAGGACTATAGATCAGTGACAGGATTTATTAGCCGGGCTCGGTTGTTAAGATACATCTTATACGCTACTCGAACACGGTACAGTAAACAGGTGGGGTTTATTAAACTCTTAAACTAGCAACAGGAAGGGAGGTCAGTTGGCCCAATAGTTATTACATGGTCTTGAAACTGACGTAATGGATACGACAACAGCACGTGCGAAGTAACATATCAACATTGTTCAATGCACAGCTGCTTGGGGATGTCTTAAACTCGCAGCGAATACGATTCTTGGGTGGGCGAAACCCAAGTTTGAGAGTTAAACACACGACTGTTCATGATGTATCACAACAGAGGTGGCAAACGTAAGCTAAACATATGTATTGTTATTCAAATTAGATAGCATTTCACAGTGAAAAACTAACCAATACTTTGTTTAAGCAAAAGCTAAACTAGCAATTATAAAATCTTACAGCATTTCAAAAGTTCAGACACTGTCAAATCGACAATAAGTAATTTATTTGTTATATTATCGATATAAGTATACATATCACTTAAAACACTTAAAAACCCTGCACAACAAAACAAAGTCACCAGGACACGGGCTATAATGTGGAGTGTAAGATGTTTCCTGGTTTTGGGGGGTGACTGAAGAAGTAGGAATCACCTAACGGTGGGGATACACCGTCTATCAGTCTGAAGTTTCGTTCTCAAAGCCTCACACGTAAAGAAAAAATAATAATAAGAGAGTAAAATAAGAAAAAATATATAGAAAAAAAAAAAAACGTGAGCAAGATGTGGAACCCACAACATCAGTATCACACTTCACGGTCCGGCATGGCCAAGGTGGTTAGGGCGCTCGACTCGCAATCTGCGGGTCGCGAGTTCGAATCCCCGTCCCACCAAATATGCTCACCCTTTCAGTCGTGGGGGCGTTATAAATGTGACAATCAATCCTACTATTCGTTAGTAAAAGAGTAGGCCAAGAGTTGGCGGTGAGTGGTGATGACTAGCTTCCTTCCCTCTAGTCTTTCACTGCTAAAATAAATCGTGTAGCTTTGCGAGAGATTCATAACTAACAAACAAATCACCCTTCACTGCCTGCAGACAGTTGTAGGAAGGTTTATATTATATATATATATACACGTGCATAAGTAAATATACCTTGTATGATACTTTAGTTTGAAAGCCTTTCTATTTTGATCATGATAAATTGAAACAACGTGTTCTGTAATCGTTTTATTTATCAAAAATACTTCCACCGGACGATAGCATATTCGTCAGAGGATATAAGAATTAAATATGGGAATCTATTAGTACAGTGTGAATAAAGTCAAATACTGGGATCTATTAGTACAGTGTGAATAAAGTTAAATACTGGGATCTATTAGTACAGTGTGAATAAAGTTAAATACTGGGATCTATTAGTACAGTGTGGATAAAGTTAAATACTGGGATCTACTAGTACAGTGTGAATAAAGTCAAATACTGGGATCTATTAGTACAGTGTGAATAAAGTTAAATACTGGGATCTATTAGTACAGTGTGAATAAAGTTAAATACTGGGATCTATTAGTACAGTGTGAATAAAGTTAAATACTATGATCTATTAGTACAGTGTGGATAAAGTTAAATACTGGGATCTACTAGTACAGTGTGAATAAAGTTAAATACTGGGATCTACTAGTACAGTGTGAATAAAGTTAAATACTGGGATCTACTAGTACAGTGTGAATAAAGTTAAATACTGGGATCTATTAGTACAGTGTGAATAAAGTTAAATACTGGGATCTATTAGTACAGTGTGGATTAAAGTTAAATACTTCACACTGTACTAATAGATCCCAAAAAGTTAAATACTGGGATCTATTAGTACAGTGTGAATAAAGTTAAATACTGGGATCTATTAGTACAGTGTGAATAAAGTTAAATATGAGGACGTGTTCGTACAGTGTGAATAAAGTTAAATATGGGGATCTATTAGTACAGTGTGGATAAAGTTAAATATGAGGATGTGTTATTACAGTGTGAATAAAGTTAAATATGGGGACGTGTTATTACAGTGTGAATAAAGTTAAATATGGGGATCTGTTAGTACAGTGTGAATAAAGTTAATATGGGGATCTGTTAGTAGTCTTCAGAAGGTCTGAATAAAGTTGAATGTTTTTGTTCTGGACGATACTAAATTAAAATCCATGATTAAAGGCCGTAATCATGTGAATATTAAAAGCTTACCATCTAATTAGTTATAAGTAAATACCAATACATTTATTGAGAAGTGATACATGAGACTTTAACTTCACCACGTGGTTCTATTCTAGAGGATGGAGTTTACACAAGTGCTGGATACAAAAGTTTACTTCTAAAACCCAAGATGGTGATGTGTGTCATGGTGCTCATTAGTGGCTTTATTTTCTTTGGGTACAATGACGCCACCCTAGAACCCCATCTCAGGAAGGTAAGTACCATTTAATAAAGATTTTAACGTGAAGGATAAACTCGTACGTTTAATTTAAGAAAAGGGAACAACAAAATCACCTTAGATTCCAACTTATTATCCCAATTGCTTTCAAAACGTTCCCTAGCTAAAATCGATGCTTAAAACAATAGTATTATATTAAGAAAGGGTCAGTTTTCATAACTGTTTTTCAGTCTATCCTAGGAACACATTGCATCTTAAAGTACAAGTCTGTTTTGAAAAACTTTGTTAAGTTTTAATGTACTGAATACCTCCCGATGGTAGTATACAATAACGCAGAAGTGTACATCTTCATATAAAAAAAGGGTTTTTTACAAGAAGTGTGAGAACATATTTTCACTCATGACTAGTGTGTTTCATCTGAACAAATGATATAGTTTTATTATTATTATTTAGTTCAATTTAACGCCAGCTGTTCTTGGAATGATATTCGTTGCTGTTGGAGGAGTGTATGCCTGTACTACACCGTTTTGGGGATATTTATGTGATAAAGGAGTAAGTTAAAAACCTCTGTTTTGCAAAATACTGATAATAATGTATTTTTTATTGGCATATGTACGATTAATAAGATGCTTGAGGAAGTATTATGCGAGTTACATGAACCTCGAGGAGGTATTGTATCAGACAACAAAAAGTTTTTCTCTCTGCTACTAGGAAAAATGCAACTGTGTCTGAGTAATTCACGTTGCTGATTCTAAAAATCATGTTGAAAATTATTCATCACCTCTGGTTTTTGAGTTATAATACATTTATTCAGAATATTCTTATATATCGTGAAAATAACAACTTTTTTTAAATAATTTTTTATATTAATTGAAAATTGCATTTAAGAATGTTCAAAAACAATACATAGTAACAATACCAGTTTAAAAAGTAATGAGTATATAAGGTTATATACTGAAAATACATTGAGGGTATGTTCAAAACGTTCATCGTGGTGTTATTTTTTATTACAAAATATCTGCTTGATTTATTGCGACTTTTCTGTGTGTTCTCAGTTTCACGCTGTAAGAACCAACAGTAATCTCCCATCATCGCAGGATTCCATCGTATTTGATATCACTGTTCCATTGTAGAAATATCTTGGTGGAGGTGCTCAGCATGCTCATCACTCACTGCATCCAGATCATTTAGAAAGAAGTCTAAATAGGAGTGTAAGAAGTGCATCTTTACCGACATCCTAGACCCTATCTTCCTTGTAGTTCTCGAGCATATCATCAATCATCACAGCATAGTTTCATCTCTGTGATTTCCTAGAAATTTTTGACAGCCAATTTGAATGATTTCCAGGCAGCAAGTTCTTTCTGATTGGATACTGTTTCAAAATCATCATCCATCAGCACTTCCCGAATCTGTAGCCCAACAAAGAAACCTCCTTTTTGTTTTTTGATTCACTGATTTTTGGAAACTTGTCAGACATACATCTGAAACCATTACCATATTTTTTCATTATTTGTACAAAATTCTTCATTAGTCCCAGTTTAATATGAAGTGGGGGCGGAAACACATTTTGAGGATTCACTAAAGGTTGATACTCGGTATTCTTTTTCCCTGGTATGTAACCCTCTTCTACTGGCCATTTATTCTCTTTTAAATTATTTTATCATCTCGGTTGTCCCAGAGACACAAAAAGCAACAATGTTTGGTATACCCACTCTGCAGGCCTAGTAGGAGTGCAATAACTACATACATTAAACCTATGGTGATCATATTTGATTGATATCAAGTATAATCTGCATACTTTGATAAGCTTATTTCATGTTCACAGCATGAGCAACAGGAATCGATGGCTTAGAGTTTCCATTGTGCAAAAGTACAGCTTTTAAACTAACTTTAGATGAGTCGATAAAAAGTCTCCATTCTTGAGTGATGTTCAGTACCTAATTCTTCCATTAGTGCATCAACATTTGTACAGAAACACAAGGTATCTTGTATGCTAGTAAAAAGCAGACTTTAATGGTGACTTCTGTAAATTGAAACTCTTGTTCCTGGAGCTAATAAATTCCATAGCTGTAAACGAAAGCCAAGAAATTCTCGATGCTGCTTTGATAAAGACAAGTCATGAATCAGATCATTTAGCTGTTCTTGTGTGATCAGATGAGGCAGTTTATGTTGAGGTGTCACAGGAATAAAAGTACTATATGAAGAGGATAACTCTTTTGTTTCTAAATTTGCTGGTGGATGTGGCACTGGAAGACCACCCCTATGAGATACTGGCTCCATATGAGATGCAATATCTGGATATTTAATGTACTGTTTAGTTTTGCTTGAATATCCAGAAATATTAGTCATGCAAAAATAGCAGTCAGTCAGGTGATCTTTGGGCTCACAGCATATCATGGCAACTGCAAATAGCATACTTGCTCTCTTCTTATTCAGCCACTGTGTCAAGCCAGATGTGCAAACTTTACAACACACGTGTGGAGCTCAAAGTTTTTTGTTTGTTTTTGGTCCCCAATTTTACACGCAGAATAGTGGTAGTAAGCTACCTTTACCTTGTGTGTGATGTATTGCCTTGGTAAAACTGTAATATATTTTCCACAAAGGTAGCAGAAACTGTTTGGGTGGTTTTTGCACTTTCAGACTTTGCTAGGAGTGGAGGTAGCCAACATTTCAATTGAATTTCTAGAAAATATAAAATAATTTACGTTTAAAGAACTGGAGTTTAAAATATTTTAAAAAACAAAGTTTTGCAGAATTTGATTATATCGCGGGTATGATGCGAGGAAGAAGATCGAACTTTGTTTTGACTGTGTGTGGAACGAGACGAAGTGATCAACTGAGTGAGTGAGGGGCAACTGAGAGAGAGGCGTCTGACTCCACCCCTTTTATTCTTAGACGAAGGAGTTCTCGAATGTTCTAGCAAACTGAGCATGTGAGGGTTTCATAATTCCTGGGCATGGAAAGTGAGCGTGGGAATGAAGCAAAAGTGGTGCAATTCATTACAAACATATCGAAAACAAGAAGAATACATTTGAATTTTACACCAATACAACACAGTCAAGGTTTAAAGTTGTCAAAAATGTATGTGTTTTACCCATTAAACTGTCCAAGTAAATTCAATTTCACAGCACAAATCTATTGTACTGAGTTGATTGTATGGTATTTCACATCATGCTGATAAAATATTGAGATATTACAATAACTTAGAATCTAGATGAGATGGACAAATTCTGACTACGTTTTAGAAACCAGCACCATCACGTTACCATCACTTTAGTTTTCTCCAGTAGTAATTGTTTTTGTTTTCCAGTGTCATGCGAGTTACACGAACTTTGAGGAAGGAAGTATTATGCGAATTACAGGAATAAAGCATAGAGCCGGAATATATGTGTTAAAAGTATACCCTCTCTCCTCTCACCCGCCAAGTTGTCATTGCAGCTGTGACAAGAGCATATATGGTGTTTTATATGATTGCTATTCAAAATACTCAAGGGGGTGAATATGCAGTCTTAACTCTACGGTACAAATCCCCCCCACGACAATAATAAAAATATCGTTAACCCTTTATTGCACGCATTATAAAAATACGGTCGAAAATCTATTTGATTTTTAATTTCTTACTTGGATATTGCACCAAAAATGAAATACCTTATTCAGAGCTTTCAGCTAAATTTAAAAACATGAAATTTACTTGACATTTTTATTTCTTTAGTCAAACCCACGTTTGCTGTGTCTTGTAGGCTGTGTCATCTGTTTTATTAGTCTGCTTCTGGTGGGCCCGGTACCATTCTTCAACTTTGAAGCGTAAGATTTCATTTCATTTATATAGTTAAGTTTGAATTTAATGTTTTTATTCTACTCAACGCCTTTTCAAGGGTCCATGAACGTCACGGGTTAGAAAATTGGTTTTGTTATATCAACCGAAAGGAAAATAAAACTACATCAATGTAATAAAACAGTGCACGGTGAAACGTGCGAAAAGTATAATTTAAAGTCAGTTTTGAAACCTGATATATACAGCTGTTTTATCATGCCTGCTTAGGATACGACAGACATAATAATGGCCGAGACGTTATTTCTATTATAAATTACTTGAACAGCTGTTTTGGCGTGAATTAGATGAACTTGTTGAACTATAATTTATGTTAGCATATAAATCCTTTGTATGACGTTGCAAATCTCCCAAGTACTGCAGAAAGGACACAATATAAGTAATGTGCCATGCTTCTCATATATGTTGCCCAGCGACACACAGACTTAACACTGATAAGTTTGCACATAAAAATAAAATCGACTTTCATTTATATATGTGCATATTCAAAACACCACCAGGTTTACATTATCATTTTTTAAATTCTGGTTTGTGGTTGTTGGTAGCACATATAGGAAGCAGTAAATGTCTGAAACTTTTTGATATTAACATATAACCCTCAAAATCAGTATTCAGCCAGCGAAAATCGAGAAGAGAAACAAACGGTACTTCAAACCTCGTGGTGCTTTCAATATTTATATATTAAATACGTAAGAGAGGTTCACGTATATTAACTCCTATATATGAAACTAAATTTACCAGAAACGTTGTGCTAAAAATTTCAGTAAACTGTGTTGACCCCTAGCGCATGCAGTAAAATTAAGTTACTTAAGCGATTGAGCTGTAAATACGAACTTGAAACCGTAAACTTTGTTCAATATAATTAGTTCAAAGAAGATCGAATAATTATTATTTCAGCTATTTTATTGAAACGTTTTACACAGAGTACATGATATTAAACTTTTGCCAAGAGGGCGCTGAAAAACCTGAAAGGTTGCAATCCACTTGGTATTTCAAATACTTACTTTCTGGACTTGGAAGGTGGCAACACAAAATGTAAAATGACAGAGAGTTAGTTTGCTGTTAAGCACAAAGCAGCACAATGAGCTATCTGTGCTGTGCCTATCACGAGTATCGAAACCAGAATTTTGGCGTTATGAGTCTTCAGACCTTGATCTGAGCTACTGGGGGTGCTGCTTCTGTAGATTTAAATAGAGGTAAAAGTTGTATCCATAGTTTCAAAAAATGATTTTATTTATCTGTTTTAAGAATATACTAAGAAAGTATTATCTTTGTTTCCTGTTAAATAATTATGTAAATAAATTCATTTGTTTTCTTTCAGTGACCTCTGGTTGATCATTCTTGCACTATCCCTTCTAGGACTAGGACTGTCTGCAAAATTGGTCTGCACCTTCGCGATAGCATTACAGGATGCCACGTAAGTTGACGACTACTGTATTTTCTGTAAAGTGGGTGGAGATTTTGACGTAATTATAGAAACGTTCTATTGATTTTTGAAGTAAAAAGTAAAAGCAGTTGCTACAGGCCGATTGTCTACCTATGGTCGGTGATTCAAAATTAGGGATGGCGTCACGCCTTACCCAGATTATTCACTGATCAACAAGTTACAACTGGACTCTAAACAATTAGAGGGAGGAAAATCACTGGTTTAGTCGATAGTAAACTCCTCTAGCGTGTAAAGATAGATTTAATGAGAATTATTGGATATCTTTTGTTGTTTTTTATATACAATTACCTCTAACTTATATTCTGAAATAATCGAAGGTATCGTTCTCAAGAAGGTTAACAGTTTCAAAGTCGTGCATGATCCAATCAGAACAGTTTCAAAGTCATGCATGATCCAATCAGAACAGTTTCAAAGTCGTGCATGATCCAATCAGAACAGTTTCAAAGTCATACATGATCCAATCAGAACAGTTTCAGTGTTAGATCTATCCAATTAAATCACGTGAGGCTTCACGTGTACTATTGCTTTTATGTGAAAATTAACATAGTGACGAAACTTATCATCCTTTGAAATCTAAGTTATATCCATTTACATGGCCACAAAATTGTAACGTGAATATATAACTGAAAAACGTTCTTCAGAAATTGCATTTTTGAGCTAGTTAGTAAAATCAAATCATTTGTTGTGATGAACACTTAAATGGCAACCCTGGCTCGAAAACAAAAACAAAATAATACCTCCAGGTAAAATATTTTGAAATTTCATTTAATAACTCATTGAACCACCGACTTATCTGAGCCACTTTGAAAACGTTTAGTAATATGTCTAAACCTTAAACTGGTAGGTGTTTAGATTTTATAGATATCTATTGTTCCAACTGCAAACTCTTAACACGTTTGGGCCGGGCATGACTTATTGGATAAGTGAATCTGATGGTTTATAGTACGCAACCTATTGCCGAAAAAAAAACTATTATTTCAACGAGACAACTATTATAACATACATATTATCATTTATTTGAATGAGGCAGATATCATAACCAATAGTTAATTTCACACATTTTTTGTCCTGAAAACGTCGATTGTTTTTGCGTACTTGTCAGGACATTAATTGTAAAAAGCATGCTTAAATATAAAAACTAAAACCATAGAAGTATGTTAAATCAATATCGGTTGTGTATTTTTTATCCTATAGCGTAAGAAACAATATTTTGTCAAGAACATAATTATATAGATAAAGACAAACTAGTGAAACAGTATGCTTGTCGTAAGTTTGCATTTTAAATAATCGTTCTTTTCAGGAGATAAGTGATTTACATATAAAAGGTCAGGAAATGTAAAAAAAAAGTATTATTAGATATAGAACTAATGAATTAGTGAAGTATTTTATACATAAAGCGACTGTAGATCATAATTAAATCTCGCCATTGATTACATGTTGAGGCATGTATGATGATCTCATCATGATTGTGGTTCCACTTCGTGGAACTATGACGTAATCGTCTCTGGAGATATCCTCATCCCTACTCCTTCCCTCCGTCCCCATTGCCTGAGGTCGACACGCCTTCTAAATAGTAACATACGGTAATATTCCTTACATAATTTCACCGTCTTGGCTGTTAGAGTTCTCCAAAAAAATGATTTTTGAGAACAGAGATTGGGGATGTTGACTTTAAGCCAAAATATATATAATTTTTTTCAGAGTTTGTGATACTTAAGTAATAATAATGTAATATAACAGAATTATATAATCTTTACCAGAATTTCTAAAAATAAACACATTTCACGATATATGAACACACTTATAAAATTATCTTGGGGAAGTACAAGCGAACAAATTGTACATCAAGTTACCTGAGGTTAGCACTGTAATATTAATTAGTATTCAGCGCCGATTATTGTTAGTTAATTGGCCATGGTGATGTGGGCGTTTATGGGTAATAGGTGAAACTGCTAATTGGCTTATTATATTCAGTTTTCTGTCTTTTGAGCTATAATGATTTTATATTTCTTATATTTGATTATTATTATTATTTTACTTCAAGAGATCGCGGCTTTCCCGACGACGTGTCTACTTACGGAATGATTGGTGGCTTGTTCGCATGTGTGTCATCAATAGGGTAAGCCATATTTTATTTCTTATGTATTTAGAAATTATGATTGACGGCATGTTTATTTGTATGTCATCAGTAGGGTAAGCCATATTGTATTTCTTATGTATTTAGAAATTATGATTGACGGCATGTTTGTTTGTGTGTCATCAATAGGGTAAGCCATATTTTCTTCCTTATGTATTTAGAAATTATGATTGACGGCATGTTTGTTTGTGTGTCATCAATAGGGTAAGCCATATTTTATTTCTTATGTACTTAGAAATTATGATTTGACGGCATGTTCGCATGTGTGTCATCAATAGGGTTAGCCATATTTTCTTTCCTGTATATTTCCTGTTGGAGTTTGATTGATATAGTGATCAACCATTTTGATTATAACATTTGAATACATAGGCGGCGGAACAGATTGGAATTGTGGGGGCGTCAACGAGGGGTAACTTATTTGCCATGTTAACTGTGACTATTTAATTCAAAGTTGAAACAGTAACTTCCCTGAAAATTACATCCAAGTCTTTGTTCCCCTTGCGAAGGAGCACTTCGTTACAGGATTAAACATCTGGGGGAACGTGTCCCCAGTGGCCTTCCCCAGTTTACGTCGAGTCTTATATTTCATTTAATATTAAACATCGAGAAGTTTCCTTCCTTCCTTTCAGTATTTATCTACCAGTTATAAGTAAGAGCCTGCATGATTCTTTGATGTGTTTTTTTGTTCACGAACACCTTGTGCATTTTATATTAGATTTTAAAATGGTCTGCTCATACTATGATCTTGAATGATTAGAAACCTTGTATATTTCGTTATATTAAGTTACTTTAAACAGAAAACAAATGTATGTGAATTAGGGCTCACCATAATCGGACAAGCCAACTCTGGGTGATGGATGTTAACACACAGACACACACATAATGGATTATCTTTAGAATAAGATTTATTAATTTTTGTTTTAACCCTAAACGTTTAACACTATACACACACACACACACATATATATATATATATATGTAAACTATTTCTAAAAATACAACAGTATAACGTAAGTTTCATATTTAACTTGATATTGTTTTGTATTTTTATATTTTACACAGTGCTTTCATTGGACCTTCTTTGGGAGGCTATCTTCTAGACACTACAGGATATGAATATGGTACGCTGGTACTTGTAACCCTCGAAGCTATACTGGTAAGTTACAGTCACATGTAAGCATGTGATCCTTGATATTATAGTCACATGTAAGCATGTGATCCTTGATATTACAGTCACATGTAAATATGTGATCCTTGATATTATAGTCACATGTAAATATGTGATCCTTGATATTATAGTCACATGTAAATATGTGATCCTTGATATTATAGTCACATGTAAATATGTGAT